TGTGCTGTCTCCCCAGGAACCAGTCAAACGTGCGGAGGATGCACACGGCTGTGAAGCTTAACGAGGTGATTGTGAAGAAGTCCCAGAAGGCCAAGCTGGTCCTGCTCAACATGCCAGGGCCACCCCGCAACCGGAAAGGGGATGAAAACTGTATCCTTCCTACTGCTCTGGGGGTGGGCTGAGAGTCCCTCCTCAGGGTCTGCGGGGCTGGGGGCTTCCTTGCAGGCATGGCAGGGCACTGCCCAGTGTTCAGCCTGGATACCCCCTGCAGCTCCTGCCCCACAGTCTGCCTGGCTGAGACTGATGGCGTTATGGTCACTCCAGCCGTGATGCGGGGCTGTGGGTTCTGCGGGCTCCTTGTTTCCACCCCTCGTTCCTCCTTGACGGCCGCACAGACATGGAGTTCCTGGAGGTGCTGACAGAGCGCCTGGACCGAGTGCTGCTGGTGCGTGGCGGGGGCCGGGAGGTCATCACCATCTACTCCTGAAACACGGCGTGAGAAAGGTTTGTCCGCACCCCGAGAGCCCCACCACCCCGCACCGAGCTCCTGGAGGGAGGAGAGAAGCCCGATGGCAGCCGGTGCACAGAACCTTCACCTGCCTTCAGCCGTGCCCCTGACCTCTCCATTCGAACTGCAGCACCAGATCTTCCGGGAGCATCCAGCACCTGAGCAGCTGTTCCTCATTGCAACGTCACAGCACTGCTGTCTTTGTTTATATATAAATATATACAGTGTTCTGCGGACTGAGCATCAGAGCCCAGCGCTGCCCCCGCAGCCCCCGGCCGGGCAGGAGCCCACTGCGTCCCAATGGGCCCCAGGCCCCACTGCCGCCCCACAGAGCTTGGCTGGGCACCGCTGCCTGATGCTCGCACCGCACAGAGGTGCTGGGAGAAGAGAGAGGCCACCAGCATGCTTTCCTCGCCAGATGCTCCTCTCCCCACCTCCGTCAGCACCCGACGACCCTGGAAAGGACCGTGCTGGGCCCGGACAGACCCAACCGCCCATCTGGAGGCTGTGGGCCACGCTCACCGAGAGGCAGTTGTGATGGTTTGGAGGGGGTGAGGGTGGGGGGCAGCCGAGTGGGGCGGGATGCTGGAGAGCAGCGGTGCCACTGCAGCCCCGGCCGGGTTGGGTGGAGCTGTGTGTCCCCTTCCCGCTGGCCCCAACCCCCTCTGTCCAGGCATTGCTCTGTGCTCGTGCCGCAGCTGCTGCCCGGAGCTGCGGTGCCCGGAGCAGAGCAGAGGTCCCACCGGTGTGCAGTGTCAGCCTGAGCTGCCCCGGGGCTGTGGGACTGTGGATGCTGCTAACCCCAGGCACCGCCGGCTCTGGGCCTGGCACAGAAGCTCCACGGCCATGCTGGGAGCATTGGGGGCTGTGTGGACCCCACTTTGGCCGACCGTCGGTCCCGGCAGCCCCATACCCCGCTGTGCACTGGGGCTTTTATCCCTGGCCCCAGGCACAGGTGCTGCCACGGGGTCCGGAACACTCAGCTCTGGGTGGTTCTCAGTATATGCAATGTGTCCGATCGGCCCCGGCCCCACTGCAGCGCCTGTGTCAGGCCCTGGGGTGTGGGATGGCAGCGGGGACCCCTCTGTCCTATTTCTGGGCAGCACCCGGCCCCGTTCCAGTCCCCCCATCCCACCATGGCCCCAGAGCTGCCCCCCAAACAGCCCTGAGCCCGGCAGCGGTCGCAGGGCCGCCCCCCTCTCCCCAGCAGCAATTCTCATTCAGAGAAACTGAGGAGCTCTCAACAAATGTGAACGGTTCCAGGAACCGTGCAGGAAGCGGCGCCGAGGGCCCATGTACATAGTGTACATAATACAGTACGTGTATTTTTAAAGTGATCATATTTATGTTAATAGAACCAGATGAAGTCTATATATAGAGATCTATATCTATACTGAGAGATGCAGGGCTCTGCTAGCACCGGGCTGTGGGGACGGAGGTGTGATGGCCGCCCCTGCACAGGGTCCAGGGAAGGGCCAGGTCAGGGGCTCGTGCTCTTCTCAATTCAGCTTCTTAAAAGTTTTCAGGGAAAAGAAATTACTGGACTTTTCTGAACTCGTTTCACAGCAGATTTGAGCTTCCACTCCAAGTGCAGCCCGCTAAGAGTTGCCCTCTCCCGGCAGTGCTATGGCTGCTCTGTGCCCCGTGCACAGTGCTGCTCCCCTGCCCTCGCACAGAACAGCTCCTTGCCCTCTTCCTCTGCAGAGCTCCTCTACTCCTCCAGTTCCAGGCCAAAGCTATATGAGGCTGCTTAGATAGCAAACAAGTGGTTTGTGGGCTTTTTTTGGCTTTTCTTGGCTTGCTTTCTTTTTGTTGGTTCTTTTTTTTTTGGCTTTAAGACTCCTTGGACACACTCCCGGACCAAACCCAAGCCCCAGCTGCACCTCTGTGCCTGTCAGTACCCTGCTCCTACATCTGCACCACTCCCAAAGTGCCTCCATCTCTCCAGCAGCAGCCCCGGCCGCAGGCAGCACTCAGCCATGGCAGCTCAGCAATCTGCACAGGTGCATCGGGGCTGTCACAGACCGCTGCGATGAATGGATAGATGACAGATAGCAGCTTGAGCCAGAAGAGCAGCCCCGTGTGCCCAGCGTTAGGGGATGGGGAGGCCGGGTTTAGCTTAGGGTTCAGCTCTGCCCCTACACACCGCCACACACAGCTTCTGTGCTGTTTGCAGCCTCCCAGGATGATGTGAAGCACTCGGGCAAGGAGGGGCTGTGCACACCCACCTGCCCGCTCATCTCACTGCACCGTGCTTGCTCGGCCTGCAATGCTTCCAGCTGCTCCCTCCCTCTGCGCAAGGTGCTTCGCTCCATGCAGTCTCCCTCTGCCCTCAGCCCAGCTTTGCCTTGCAGCCTCAGCCTGCTCCTACATGGAGCAGAGGGCCTGACCTCAGCAGCAGCACCAGGGCATGGCAGATGCCTTCCTTGGGCAGCAGGGATAGATCTCTGCTGCACAGGCATGAAGCCAGGCCGGGGCACGCTGCTCTGCGGGCAGGTCAGCTCCATCGCTTCCCAGCAGCACCAACCAGCACCGCATTCACAGCCCCGACTCCTTCAGGGAGCAGAAAGGCAAAAAAGCATCCCGCCATCCTCGCCCTGCAGCAGGAGCAGGGCACAGCTGCAGGCACAGCCGCCTCCATACCCCTGCCAGGCAGCACCCGGCTGCAGCAGGACAGGCGCTGGCTTCCCAGCGAGATCGCGCTCACCTTCGGTCTGGAGAGGGCCAGTTGTAGCAGACAGCACTGCATGTTAGTTTACAAACCCAGCCCTGCACGTTTGGCCCCTGTGAGTGTTGAGTTTCCCCAAGGAGCATCCTTCCACTGGTCGCTGTGGTGAAGGCAGCGTCCTCCTGCAGCAGGAACGCGAGCTCCCAGCTGCCCCACGTGCAGCAGCTTCAGCTCTTGGGGTCCCACATCCCCAACCTGCTGCCAGGGCCGGGGGGTGCAGTGAGGCGAGGAGGGGTCAGGCCCCTGCCAGGGCTGCAGGATGGGAAAGGCACAAGGAGCGGCAGGTCTGAAAGTTGCTGGTTACACCACTTTCCGTGCTACATGTGCAATATATTTGTTATGAATGTTATCACCGGGTCATTCATCCGATAACCCTTTAATCACCGTAGCTAGATGTTCTGCGTCCATCCAAGTGACTTTTATTCAAGTGCAATACTTCAATAGACATGTAGTGACCGAGTATGCTTTGTTTTAGAAATATCTGTGTGCAGAGCAATGCAATTCAGTTTAAAACCTTGTAAATAAAACAGGTTGCAAACAAACAAACAAAAAATCAAACAAAAAGAAAAAAAAAAAAAAAAAGAATATTAGGTTTGCATTTAATTTCTGTGACTGTTTCAGTATTATTGTGCATTAGGCCGCCTCAGTACAGACCCTGTGTTCCCCGTGCAGATATTAATGGAGGAGAGGCTCCTCAGCTGTTGAATGCTCCCTGTTAATGCTTTACTGCTTTACCTGTATTCATTTTTCTAGACTCCTGTCTGCACAAAATGCAATAAATGATTTTATTACACCCTTCACTACTTGCCTGGGAAGCTCTCATTAGCTCGCAGGGCGTCACCGTGCCCTCGGCCTCCCGGTTCACTAACGCAGCTCTCGCTGCTGCCTGCCGACTCAGCGCTGCCCCACGCGGGCGCAGCACAGCGCAGCACGGCGCTCCTGCTGCTGCCCACCCGGCTGGCGGCTCCCAGGCGTTCACCAGGCAGATCTCGCTGCAAACCCTCCATCCTTGAGGTCAACAGCAGCTCCTCCCGATCAGCGGATTCAGCATCACTTCGTATGCACGGTGCCGGTGCATCCACGAAGATGCTGGAGCGCTGGCCCTAACACAGAGCTCGGTGGCGCCCCAGCAAGGGCTGCCAGCCTGATGTGACCCTGAGAGCTCAAGGTGGCAGCCGACTGCTCACCCTTGTGATGTCCTGCATAAAAGCAGACGAGTGCTTTTCATCCAAAGCAGTATCAACAGCTCTGCTAAAATATACCTATCACCTACAGGGATTTTGTCCCAACTGAAGCTCGTTGAAACTTGTGAGCATGCCAACAAACTGTTCTAACTCAGAGTTCTGAGCCCACTGAATGACAGTAAGCACCTGAGAAGTACTTTAAAACCAAAGCACGATGAACTGACACAGCATGGCATCAGCCTGGGGCATGTTACAGTGTTCTGCAGGAGGGAAAGAAACACTGGGAGCAAACCAAAGCAAAGCAAACCAAAGAGGGATTCTGAAGAGAAGGGCACAGTATGGTTTGCATCCAGCACTGGGCAATGTCTGAAGCACTTACCTGGAAGAGAGCAGCAGCAAACGCAGCAGAATAAGCAAAGCAGTGGAATAACACATTCCAGCAGTACTCAAACCGTGAAGCATAAAAAATGCAACAAAAATTTTTTTTCCTGCCTTTTTATTAAAAAGTAACGTCCTTTCGTTAACAGCACAGAGAGAAAAATGCTACAACACAAACCACCTCGGACAAGAAAATCCTCTGCTCCAAGAACATTGCTCTCCTAGCATCTTTTGGTTCTGCAGGAAGCCTACAGACTCCAAGAAGGCTGTGCAAAGAAGGACCGCATGGTTAGAGAAGTTTTGTTTTCTGGTATCAAAGTATGTTACTGGTTAAAAACACGGTGAAGTATCACTGCCTGATCCGCTCAACTGCCCGCTGCAGTGTTGAAAGAACATATAAAATTATAGTATTGCATGTTGGCACTGCCTCCCCCCCTGAGATGGACAAAACAGCAACCGAGATGAAGTGTCAGAGAGCAGACATCGACCACCTGGGAAGTGGCTGCAGACAGGTCCAGCAGCACATCAGTGTGGCTGTGGCTGAGCTGCTGGGCAACGTAACCAGCTGCCCCAAAGCAAGATTAGAAGGAAATTTATACATAGAATTTAATAGACTGATCTTAAAATTGATTACTTGGGTGCAGGATTGATTTTGTTTTGTTTTATCAATAGACCATTTAAAGTCTCTGCCTCGGCTGGAAGATCTCCCCATTTCAGATCCCCCATTGCAGTCAGAACAAAACTGTCAGCTCCCATACGCCAGGCAAGGTGAGGCGCTTCTGCCAGCCTCGCTGTGCCAGGACAGGACAGCCCAGCTGCAGGACTGCACAGCACCGCCTGGCTTATAGAACAGCAGGCAGCCACACGCCACGTGAGGTCAGCTGCCAGAGCTACCTCTGCATTTCCTCTTAGATGGCACTGAAAGAAACAGAAATAAAAGAAAAAAAGAAAAGCAAAGAAACAGCGACCATTCCAAAAACCTGCAACCCCAGGAAGGCCCAGGCAGGTATTGCTCTTCTCAGTCTCGTGTCATTTTCCCAAAAATGGGCCCAAATCTATACTAAGACCAGAAAGCACCATAGTGTGAAGGTGCACCCATCCACAGGAGTGAGGAAAACGCAGGGCTGCCATTGCAGCAACTCCTGGGCTTGGACAGAACAAGTGAATACCCAAAGTGGCTCTCTGCAAATCCTGCCACTGAGAAAACAGAAGAGACTTCTCCAAACACTGCTATCCAGACCAAGGTGAGGAAGGGCAGCACTATAACACTCAGCAGCAATGCCACTGGGAGTACACTCTCAACGAAGTGGAGAGGACATGCATATCCAGGGGCATTTGTCCCACGTCAGGGACAGGAGACTCTTTAAACAGCTAGAAATATGGAATGACAAAGGGTAGGGAAAAGGGTTTGACAGCTCAGCTTTAATAGTGTCGCTGGTAGGAACCCATAGGCTGCTGGGTGGAGGACCCCGCTCGCCCCTGGGCCACTGTTTGACTGACTAGGTGGGAGAGTGCAGGACCGCTCTGGATCAGGGTGTCCAAGGCTTTCTGTACACTAGGGTTGTCAAAGTTGATACCAGACGATACTGGCCTTTGGGCAGGAACGGCGCCAGGCGCAGGGAGACGATTCTGGTGCTGACCGTAAAGCGACTGAGCTGGTGGAGGAGCTCCAGGTCTTGGACCTGCATTTCTGGAAGGGCCTTGGAGAGAAGGAAGCTGAGTGTTTGGAGTTTGCAACCTCTGCTGGGCCGGGTTTAAATTTCCAGCACTCATCTGTGCCGATCGGGCCTGATTGCTGGTCATGTTAGTGAAGTTCTGGCTGGGAGTGCCACCCGACGTGCCCACAGTGGGTGCAGAACTGCTGTTTGCCACAGCTGCTGCTGCCGCCCCACTGTTGAAGAGACTGAGGATTTTTGCCTGGAGCTCCTGCTGAGGATTAGCAGAGGATGCTGGAACAGAAGGAGCAGAAACCAGAGGCTGTGAACCCTGATGAGTCTGAGAGCTTGGAAGGCTGGACTGACTGCCCAGGGATGGTGCTGAAGGTGCTCCCAGAGACGGTCTCGACATGGGTGCTGGGGAAGAAAAGGAAGGGAGTTAAAGCTCTGCAGGGGTCCTTGAAGAGACACCTAAAGGAAACTGGTGAGATAGCTAAGGACACAGACCTCAGGAAATAGCCACCCTCTAATCAGAAATGCTGCACAGCTCTGGGGAACCCAAACCACTCGACAGAACTGTTGCCCTTTGTGGAGCTGCCAAGCCAGTTAGGGAGCATTGTGGTTTCCCTGAGAGAATCCCATGTAAAGCTTCTGTCACGTGAAGACCAGAATAGTCTCAGGACTCCTGGACACACATCCACCTCCATAAAAAAGGCACTCTGTAAGGATGTCACAACACTAGGACTCCTCTACAACCCCAGTATTGACGTCCTGTCCCACAGAACCATACGACTGCTAGTGCCGTTCAGGGCTGAGATACTCACCCTGCAGAGAATCAGTGCTCCCCCTCAGTAACCTTTCCTTCCGGTCCCTCAAGTAATTAATTACTTTATCAGTCTCCTCAGCAGTTAGATACCGATTGTCTGCCAGAAGGTTCAATAGAGTCTGAATGCCCGGAGGGTGGGGGTGGCCCCCCCTGGCCCCCTCCTCCATGGGGGGCGGGCGCTCTCTCTCCTGCAGAACGGCCTCATCTGCCATCTTGGCAGCCTGCCGGGCGATCTCCTCACGCTCCTTCTCCCGTGACTCTGTTTTGTAGCGCTCGTAATTCCTGGCCACCAGCACCATGGCATCAGCCTGGGGCATGTTACGGTGTTCTGCACGAGGGAAAGAAACACTGTGAGCAAACCAAAGCGGCGTTAGCTGGAGGCGCCTTCCCTCACTCACACCAGCACGCCTCGTTCAGCAGGCAGCACCTCCAGGGATTGTAAGCACAGACGTGGGAAGCTCCCTTGGCACACGGCAAGAGTTCCATTTCCTAAGCCAACAGGAGTCTCACAGCTATCACCCAGCAAGGCCAACCCTTCCTTTCTCAGCCGAGAGCTCCTAGGAGGTTTCATACCAGCCTAGAAAGGCCATCCGTGCCTCTCATTCAAATAAAAAGAGAAACAGCTCCCTCTACCTTCCACACAAATTCTCAGTGCTCTGAGAAGAGAGAGTTCCAGCTGTTCAATCGGATGAGCCCATGGACAGGCTCCAGAATTGCACTCTCAAGGCACATCTCATCTCTGGTTCCCAGAGCAGCACAGTCACGGGGATATGCTAAAGATCAAGTGAAGAATATTTAATGCCTAGAAAAGATCTGTGCATGAATCAGTTGCCAGAGTTCTTACCAGATCTGACACACTGCTTGCTGCAGTGAAGGAGAAACCTTGGCAGGGGAACAGATGTCAAACTAAAGCAGTTAAGAACTAAAACAAAAGGCAGTAGAAAGCCCACTGAAAGTGTGCTTGAGCTGCATGCCTACTGGAATTGAGGGAAACACCCCACCACAGCCGCATCAGGTGCTAAAAGAAACCAGCTTCTTCAGTCAATAAGCACACAAAAAGCAATGAGCATGCATTCAGGTACCACAGACAAACCTGACAAAGCATTACTTGAGAATACAATAAGAGAGAAGTAACTTTTGAAAGCCTAGCTGCAGCCAAAAATCTACCTCAGTGAATAATGCATAAACAGGCTTATGATCACAGCCCTAAGACTGGCTTGCCTGCACAACCTTCTGACAGGATTCTCTCCTGGTAGAAATTAAACAGTCCTTCTGACAATCAGGTATTGCAGAATTTTGCAAATCATGAGGTTCACATTTATGACATGCCATTAATTCATACATTAGACCTGTAAGTCACAGCACAGAAGAACAACTACTGGAGAAAACCTATTCTAGAGCAGTGCTTCGTGCTGTTGGGTGCGACTGCAAACCTACGCAATCCGCTAAGCCCTCAGTACCTTGTGGGGTGCCAAACATGATGTTAACAGTGCAAGAACGGTGAACTTGATGCTGCTGAGTGATGACAATAGCAAAAGGAGATCCTCCTCTGCTCACATCGTCCAGGGCTTGAGTCAGTGACATCTCTGTGTTGAGGAAGATCAGGTCCACCACCATGCCCAGATCCCGCACCTTCCGCCCCACCGACTCCGCGTACTCCCTGCCACAAAGCAAAGCCAGCAGTTTCACAAGTCAGGAATGTACAGAAACAAACCCTTCACATTCGTGTGCTGCATCTCAGGTTTGTTTTTCCCTACTTCACTGATCCTCGCTACTTCTCAATAATTCCATTTGTAGATGAACAGACCAGTGCCATCACCACAGCACTCCCTGCACTGTGCCAGGTGCAGCAGTAACTCCTTGCTCCCAACACTCTGCTTGCTCTCCAAACCACAGAACACGCCAGCATTTTTGACATAAGTCTATATGACTCCTAAAATTGCTTTCAGACCTTTTGCTTCCAGCAAAAGCAAGCATATGTTTCTACTGGCACTGCATTTTTATTTCTACGTTAGAAGTTTCACATTTAATGCAATAAGAAGGTTTGAGCATTCAGACTGCTGCATGAGATTTTCCTTGTTAATTACATACATGCTTTTGATATCGTTCACGACTACTGCCAGCAGTGATTTTATGTCTTGCACATTGATTAACAGTATTGAGCAGTATCTGACAGCAATCTAGATCAGATAACCACTGACTGAACGGAGCTGAAGCAGTCAAATTTTAGCTCCTTTCAATCTGACGGGAGCTCTGAAATGGACAACCCTGTGACTCCACATCGACATCTCTGTGCTATCTGCTGATTGCACACGTTAACAAGTTCTGCTATTCATGGGCTGAATGATACAAGTACAGGCTGCTATAGCTTGATATGAAAGCAGGGTTATACAAAGAGAATGTAAAGTTTTGGGAGAAGACATGCTGTAAGCTGACAAGAAGGCAATGTAAGTAAAGTGCAAGATATAACAATATTTCTCCTCCTCTTCAACCACTCAGCATTCCTAGAACAGCAACAGAGGCTGTGGTTTTCTGAAGGCTCTAAAGCCACTCTTCTCAAGGGAAACCGTATGAAAAACAGCTTCAAGGCATGACTAAGCTTAATTCCATCTACCACCACTCGACAACAAATGCAGTCATAACTACTTCCTTACTTTGTCTGCTTATTCACCACTATCACAGAACAATCAACGGGTCTCTCAGCATCAAAGCGCCTCTTGATTTCCTCGTAGTACTGACGGTACAGCTCCTCTCGGCGGCGCTCCTCACGCTTCAGACGGTCTGAAACCAAGCCACAGAAAGACAGAACAAACAAGGCTCTTTGGATCTGCTCGGAGCAGCACGGTGCACACAGCTGTGCTCAGTCCCCAAGCCACCTAGTGGCACAGAAGGCAGTGCTGTGGACACGTCCACCCTTAGCACTGCAGGTATCTACATCCTCCCAGAGGAGAACGCGGTTGTGCCTACAAAGCCACCAGTCTCCAAGGCACTGACCTTCTGAATTCACTGGCGCTCTGTCAAAGTGCTCTTTGTAGCGGTCGTAGTAGGAGTCGTCCTTCCGCCGATAGTAGTCGTCCACGCGCAGGTAGCGCTCGTAAGGCTCGTCTCGTCTGCAACATGGACACAAGCAGCACTGGTTCCCATGCTCCAATGTGCCGCACGCAAACCTTCCTCAAATTTCATTACCGAGGCAGCCAGCTGCTCCCCTCGACCAGAGCAATTTTCCTATGTTAAAGGACTAGCGCCACCCAAACCGATGTAACCACAAGGCAAGAATGCTATGAAAACACATGGGCATTACCTGTACAAAGGGTCCCGAGGGTCTCTCATATCCCGCGGATCCCTCACGTCCCGCGGGTCCCTCATGTCTCTCGGATTCCTCATGTCCCGTGGGTCCCTGTATCGATCGTACAGCGGCTCCCGTGGGTCACGAAAATCTCTGACGTCACGAGGGTCCCGCAAGTCCCTTGGATCTCTGATATCCCGGGGGTCTCGAAGGTCTCGCAGGTCGCGGGGGTCTCTGTGGTCTCTGGCATCACGAATGTCTCTGGCTCGAATATCTCGGGTGTCTCTGGAATCTCGCCCGTTTCTACCATCCCTGCCATCTCTGGGGTCTCTCCGTGGGCTCCCCCGCAGAGGGGAGCGATCGCGTCTGTTATCGCGGCCATCCCCATAGGCATAGGGCTCTCTGAGGAAACACCAGGGCAACTGTTAGACTGCTGCCCACACAGCTTACCCCGCATCTCTTACCTGAGATACCAAAGCGAACCTTCTCTCCGCAACCGAATCCTCCCTCTGATCCCATAACAAGAATTGCCCCAAAACACAGTTCTCAAAGCAAACACATTCGGAGAAGATCTTAATTACAACATTTATCTCAGTTAAACGACTCCGAGAAAGCTCCCTACTGGAGCATCACTAAAACTGTAGAACACCCGTGGAAGGAGCGAACAGGCACTTCAGAAACCACCATTTCAAGGCCTCCGGCCTCCACTGTCAGCTATGGATCATCTATCAAACGTGCACTTGCAAATTCCTTGAGAAAGTGTAAGGTGCTGCATCCTGCTACCCAGAAATATGGGACAGCTAGGAGCATTCAAGGATCCGTTAAATTCACAAGTCACTGACAGCAGAACCCTGAAATAATTTGTTACTGGCACATGATTCAAAAAGAGCTGGCTGGGAGCAGCGACACACAGGCTCTGTGCTGTGGTTGGCTCTGTGCTGTGAGCAGAAACAACGAGCTAACGACGTGTCCCCACAGGGAACGGGCAGATCCTGGAGAAAGTCAGTCTTATGATGCCCCGTGTTAAAAGGGTACCAAACCCAGCCAACACCACATCATCATTGAGAGCAGGATTCTCTGTCACATCTGAATGATCCATCTCATTCAGACTCTGTACCGCGCCGTCTTCAGAGGAGAGGGCGATGTTCCAGGCTTCATCTTTCCCATAGCAGTAGGTTTTTCTCCAGGCCATAATTTGTTTTCCAAAGAAAACACAGCTTTTAGTCTAAACCAAACCTAATCAAATCTTGCAGAGAAACTACTGAACTTCACATGCTTGGAATGGTCTTTCCACATGATACTGGCAACCACAGGGAAAGGGAAAAAAAGCTTTTTCAAGTCTGTTTTGTAAATAGAAAGTCTTCTATCAGACTCATCTAGATTATGAAAGATGAGCAGAATATAAATCCACTTCCACTACACTGCATTGACTGTGTAGTCAGTTGGAGAAGACAGCAGGAGCAACAAGTCAGATGCACTCACATTTCAGTATGAGGCAGAGCAGACAGTAATGAGAAGGACGTGCAGAGCCAAGCGCAGGCTTTGGTAGCTTATACACCCAGCTGTTTGGAGAGATACACAGCATTGTCGACATTCTGAATTTCATATACAAAACAAATACTGGGACATACTACTGTGATGCCACCGAAAGCATACCAAGCCTTTTCCCCTTATAGAAACATCGTGCTCAGAAAAAAGCAAGTGCATTCTCCTTCACTCTCTTGGGCACACAAATCCACATTTTGTTTGAGATCTGTACAAAACCACAGCCCAGAGGAGATGTATGTTGTCTTCCCCTACCCCCTCCTCCCCCATCCTGCAATGAGCGACAGCAGAAGCTCAGGGAAAACTTGGGCTTTGCTCTGATGGACACTGAGTACTTGACCTTTCTGTAGTTGTAAGACTACGTAGCAAAACAGCCAGATGCAGTATAATTGTTTTGCAATATGACATTTATTCCATCTGGGGTGGGGGTGACCGGAAGAGGCCACGTTATCTGCAGAGACGAAGCTCCAGAGCAAACAGTGCACAACTGCAGCTTAACTACAGACGTGGCAGCAGGCTGGGTCCCTCTGCTTTCTGACCTGCTGCCAGCAGAGGCATGCAGGCACAGCAGCCTCCTGCCTCCACCACCACAGCCCACCTCCTGCAGTGCCCACACCACTGCCCAGGCCTGCAGCAGGGCTCAGAAACCCACGGCTGCTGTTCACGCACCTGCAGTGCGGTGCAGAGTCCGGTCTCTGCTGCCTTGCTCGTGACTCAGTGCCTGCATCCTTATCATGGTCTGTGCCTCTGCTGCTGCTTGGAACCAAGTGCCAGCAGTACGGGAGGGCCAGGGCATCCACAGCACCAGCCGAGTCCTGTGCCTGTGGCAGTGCCCCTATGCCTTTGGCAGCCACGGCGGTGGTCCAGACCCAGTGCTCACGTGCCTTCAGTGCTCCTTAGGGGCACAGACTCATGTGCATGCAGGATCACACAGATCCCAATGCCCACAGCACTGGTGCCTGCCACACATCTTCTGCAACGTGGCCTGAGGCCCAACATCCGTGGCATTGGCACCTACTTCTCACACTTGCAGCACTACCTGGGTACCTTCGTCATCAAATGCTGCAGCATCACCAAGGCCAAAGGTCTGTCACCAGCACCTGAGGCATTCTTGTGGTTCTCATGCCACTGCCAAGCACATCTGACAGTACCCAGGCCCACAGCTTGCTCATCCATAACTTAACACCTGGCCTCGTGCATGAAGCATTTCCTGGGCCTGCTGTCCACGCACTTGGCCCTATGCAGGAGAAATGCAGCACATATAAAACATCAAGGATTGCAGATGCTCCTTCTCTGAGTTTTGGTGGCAGATGTCACAAGTCACACTTTCTTCCCCATTTGCTGTTAATTTTTTTTATTTTTTTTTAATCAGGTCAAGCTAGTAGAACACACTGGGCATGTGAGAGCTTGATTATTTTCAAATCCAGATGCAACACTCCTTCGGGTGCAAAGCTTTATACTATAGCAGGAAGAAACGCACACCTTATACCAAATGGTGGCCACAGCATGTCTTCAAGCACTCCATGGCAGTGCTACCAAAAAGGAGGTCTTCATCCACATGCCTGTGACTTCATATGCAGAGGGGTGTGTGGGAGCTTTATTCCCATCCAGGGCTGGGAAGCCAGAGGAGGCAGGCAGAAGCACCCTCTGGGTGTAACTGCAGAGACGAGGGCTGGTTCTGCGCACTGACAATGAAGTACACACACAGATGGGACAGTGCAATATTGAGACACATACACTGCCTTGCACTTTACTTGCATGCACTTCTCCAGTCTCATTTCAGTACTGGAAGCTTTTGGTATCAGAAGAGGCAAGATCCCGAAGCTCTCTCCATTGACAAGACCGCAGCCCCTCGGTTGTGGCTCACACACATGCATCACATTCTGATGCTCGAGCCAGGAGCAAACAGCAAGTTAATTTCTTCCTCACAAGTCTCTTACAACCTGTGCTGCAAAACGTAACACTTAGTTGCAGTGACAGCAGCAAACACGAGGTTTCCCTCGTGCCTCCTGAGGTGCCAGCGCCAGAAGGGCTCTTAGAAGGTGGAGCAGCCACATCCCAGCTGTCTCACTCGAGATTCCATTTGAGTGGGGAGGTGGCAGTAGGGAAGAGAGACAGACATTTAGCACAGGCAGCCGGGCTCGTGCCCCAGAAGCCTGACCTTCCTAGCATAACTCACTGCTTCCAGGTACTTTACCTTCGTGCCGGGCTGGACCTTGATGAAGCCTTATTCATATTTCTTCTTTCCGCTGCTTTATTAATATCTGTAAAGAATAATCAACCCATCTGTTCAATGCTATGGAACAAAAAAAAGATCATCAGCACAATTCAAACGAAAGCAACTTAAGCTTAACAACATCCAGATGGTGCAAGAAAATTCATTCAGCAAAGAGACATTGTCACTTTGACAGGTTTTTTATTAAGTTTAGATAGTACAATGCAGGGAAATTCTCATGGATTTCTCTGATTTCAAAATAGGGTGGACAGCTCAAGTGAAGTTCTACCGCTTTAAGTTCAGGTCTACATCCAGACTCCTCATTCCATAAGAGGACCTCTTTCTTCTGCAGTCTATGAGCAAACAGATTACAACTCATGGACTCTAGGAGAAAAAGCAGAGTCTGAAGACCTCTGAGAAAGGAAGCTGGTGCCCAACAGTCTTAAATTCACAGCCAGACCTGTTCAGCAGAAATGCTGCTACCCTTATAGCTAGTAAACGTGAGGGCTCTCAAATGGCACATGCAACTGCCTTCTGAGGGACTGCTGCAGCATTTCACTGTGCAGCTTCCTGCAGGAGGAAGCAGGATGCAAGGAGCCTGAAGCACGAGCTCCTCGTGAAGTCAACACGGTGCACCCGAGCACCACTGCTACTGAATGCAGAGAGAAGCAACAGATCAGACATTTGACAGCTGGTTGGCTTCTGAGCATCTCCAAAAAACACCACGAAGTGAAATACAGAAGTAAGAGAGCTGAAGAAACAGAGTTCTGTTCTTAAACCAAAGTGAAGCTGCCCCAAACCAGCGGGGGCCAATACCACCACACTGAGGAAACAGCCCTCTGTAACAGCTGAGTGAGGATGGAATCATGCACTAGGGGGGCAGGGGCAAACAAGTGATTAAGTGCTTATTCTGAGAACTTTCCAAAGAAAAAAGCAAACCTAGATCCTAACAATTACAACTTTAAATCAGGTTTGTTTTTTAAACTTTGCTGACTTGCAAGAGCTTTAGAAGTAGCCACACACAGCACACAGTGCCTCACGGGCAGGCTGAGTGTTAATGCAGCTTCCCAAACTATCCTTCCAGACTTCCAGGAGGGATCACTTCATTTTTGCTCCGGTTGTTCTATCAGAAAGCAGAGGCACAAAAGCCATGGGGACGCTGGGCACCCAGCAGGACAGCGCTCACCGGCCTGGAAGCACAACGAACTGCCACCAAAGCTGAACGGCCACACATCCCACACAGCGCCACTCACTGCAGATACCACAACACTTTCCAGCACTTAGGGATCTTTCGGCATAACCCAAGAAGAGACACTCTCAAAGCCCTTCACTTCGTGCTATTAGCCTCTATATCTACCAGTTACGCTGCATTCCTGAAGTCACTACCTTCCTTGCGTTTAACTTAGCATCTGACTTTAGTGAAAAGTATTCTTATATTTAAGCAAGACACTATCTGCATTTTCAGTTTGAGATTTTTATTATTCTGTTTAAAATGCCACCATAGGTTTCTATGTGCGATTTTTTGCACCCAATCCCATACATTTCTTTCAAATTAAGAAGAATGATTTAGATCTGGACAAAATATTTTCACAGGAGACAGAAACGCCTCTGACAGGGATCCTCCTCTCACACAAAGTGATTTCATAACATTTTATTTCATGCCAACAGTCTGTACAGATGAAGAACTTGAACTCTGACAAAACTTTTGAGGGGGAAAAAAGGGAAAATCTTCCATCTTGCAGGAGCTGGAGGTGACAGAGCCGCTGCAACCCTACAGCACAGCCCTCTGAGCAAGCACAGGTGCCAAGGCTCTTCAGCTGCACTCCTACCTCAAGTCAAGCAGCGCATTGACCAGAGTTCATCTTTTGGCAAAGCGTCCCATTCTGATCAAAGAATCTCCACAGCACACAAACCACCAAAGATCCGATAAATGATTCCAATTATCATTTATTTTGCAGTTTAAAAGAACTATTTATTTCCATTTACGGACTTGTCATATCTCCATCTACCAGACCACAACTCTCGTATCTCCAGGTCTGCCTGGAACACAGCTCACAGCACCCTGAGCCTCTCTCTAGGGCACGTTCTTCACACTCCTCAGCCTTCAGATTCTTCTGAGGCTTCTCCAGCCTAGCATCTTCCCTTTGAACCAGGCAGACCAGAACGCAGCCTTCCAACAGCAAAACCCCACACGTACCAAACCCCCCCAACTCCCAGACAACTGTGGTACAGGGAAGGATGACAAAGGCACTCTTGCTGGGTGCAGATCTTCACATTTGCCTTTATTAAAAGCTCAGTTCTGCCTGCATTCGGCTTCGGAAGAAGTCCACATCATTTCACCATCAGTGACTCAATCTTCATTATTTTATTCCCTCTTTTAAACCATAAAAATGTGTTTTCTTTCCAAGTCACTTACAAAAACACAGCATGGCCAGGAACCAACTCTTCCAGAACACCACTCAACACACTGAGCAATTTCATCCGCGCTGCACCAAAATTCATTTCAACTCCATTTAATGCTACGTTGCTTTTAATTGCACTAGCTTCTTAATCAAACCAAACATCTTACAAAAGCACTTTACATCAACACTGCTACTTTCATCCAGCAAACTCGCAGTACAAGAACACGAGGTTGACAGGGCTGACGTGCACTGGGCTGTTCCCCCACCTGGCACTCGGTAAGAAGGGATCACAGCTCACTTGTTGCTGGGGCTGCTGCCAGCTGGGCGCTCCCAGCAATGCCCCAGGAACTCCCCAAATATCCAAAGCTCGGAGGAAAACATTAAGAGCTCCAGAAGGTCTTTGTTTCACTGAATCTCAGATTTAATCTTTTTGGAGGACCAGTTTTGGTAGCTGTCATTTTTTAATTACTATTATTACTTCTTTTTTTAAAAGCTTGCTGTTGAAGTGGAAACTGCGTGGAAAAACACCTGACTTCTAAAAGAGCATGAAGAAACATTAACTGCAGACTGGGTGGTCTTTCCTAATTAGAAATATCATTTCCAAATAATTACATGTTAGCATGTGAGACATCTGCAGCTGTTCCTGTAACGATTCTTGGACTGGGCAGCACCAGCCCTGATGCCTGCTTGCAGCCTCCTCCCCTCCTGTCCATTTGCCACCACCTCCACCTTCAGGCTCCCACTGGTTACTTCCCCATCTTGCTATTTACTGCTCCTTTGGTTCCTCCCTACATCAAACAGCTTTTCTTTAAGTAATCATGGAAATTAGGTTTCTCTTGCATTTAACAGATCGGGCTCAGACTTCCAACCATTCACTTTCGTTTCAGTTTGCTGCCAGCAGATTCAGAAGGACTATTTTCATCTTTCTGAAAAGGCCTTTTTAAAGCACTTTGTATTTATAGGGCTACTCAGATTATGTCCCATGTGCAAGAAAATCCACGTTAAGTGTCCTTATCTAACGGGCCACTGAATTTTGTGACCAGTTCCTCTGGATTCATCAAGATGCAGCCCAGTAATGGTTTACAAACCAATTTTAGCACTAAACAGGTGAAGTCCCCCCCAGCACTTTCCAGGGCTTACATGTTGACCAGCTATGGGTCCATTCAAACACTAACACAAAAACAAATTCAGAGTAGGACCCGGGTAGCAAGAGAAAACGCTACAGACGAATCACACAGCACTTAACAGCAAATAACTCAGAAAGAAAATACATACCTGGTAAAAGTGACTTTAGACTAATGCCAGGCAAGTTTCACACAATGATCTTTCCAGAGAGCTTTCGAAGAAAAGCACTCTGTCTACCAGAACGCATGCTAAGGTAGGAGAGCAGGGGTCAGTTTTCCTTACCTAATCTATACCCTTTATAAAGGCGGCCCTTCTCACCGTCCAGAGCGGCCTGGACATCTTCTAGACGGTCATACTGCACGAACCCATAGCCATGGTACATGCTGAGGGCTGCAAAAGTTAACAGCAGGGCAAGACCAGTTACAAGAACAGGACAGCAAGGATCCCACACCCAGGCCTCACATCACCCCAGCAGCTGGAACAAGCAAAGGGGCTCTGCCCAGAAAGGCCTAGGCAGGTTTTAGGGGAGACCCAGATCTACTGGGATCAAAACGCAGAGCTTAAGAACTCTGAAACGTATTTCTTAGACAATTCCACAAAGACAGACCAGCTTCCTTCTGACAAGGCAGTGACCAAAAGTATCAGCCCACAAAGTGACCGAGACTTGATTAAGAGACTGCGCAGTCACTTGAAAGAGCAGATTTGCTTGATATAACATGGCACCACAGCCCCAGAGATAAAGCATGCTCGTACATACGCACCAGGTTTCAGCAGTACTCCAAGAATTACTTTTTCAGAAAGTGCAGGCAGATAAAGTTATCATTAAAAGGTCACTTTTGAGGGAAAGCATTAGTCACTCCTCTCATCAGCAGCAAGCAGCATTCGACAAGCATGACAGTTATATTTCTGACTGAATTCCCAGCCACAGAGAGGCATAAGATAAAATACTAACCCCTGATTTTGCCATATTTTGAAAATATCTCTTCCATTTCTTCACGAGTCATGTGGTCTGTGGGCAAATTGCCGACAAAAAGTCTTCTCTCTAAATCCTGAGGGTTGGTGCTGTTAGTGAAGTCGCTCTGTTTGATGCTATTGCTCTTGCGTCCTCGGGCCATTTTGCTTTCGTTCCAAATCCAACTCTTCGCAAAAAAGAGAAATGGCCACGCATATAATTTCAATCCACGACATTAAAATTAAACTGGAACAAGATTAAACTTAACAGCTTTGCAGACTAGAAGCCAACCGGGTCTGTTTGACGCAAGCTTCGCTCCAGAGAAATCTTAATACAACTGACACAGAAGGCAGGAAAAAACGTGCATTGCAGCATCTGGGGTGAGCTTCCTGTAACACCGAGAGGTAGGAAGCCTGATCTACTTCATGGATGTGTTTTAGTGATTTATCTCCAAGCTAAAATAGAACTTAAACTCATTTCTTACTGAAGAAAATGCAGCTTTCTGATACACGCATTGTTTTATCTGTTTCTTCTGTTCACTGGTAAGAAGTGCTGAGGTTTAAGTGGTATTTTAACAAGCAGAAAGGAAACACTCAACATCACACAACAGGACCCAATTATTTCTCGATGGGCTTTCAGCAAGATGTCACAGAGTACTTTTAAATGCGCTTCAGTGACCACACTTGGATCCCTTTCCCAAAGGGGAGAGCAGTTTCTCATTCATGCCACTGCTGAGCAGCCCCACCACCACCACCTCCCACTGAAGGCGGGTCCACAGCAGGGAACATCACCACCCCAAACCCAGCTGGAGCACTCAGCAACATCCACTGCACCCACAGCTCCAGCACACCACTGGGAAGGAAACAAATCCACCCGCAGCATCCAGACCAAACCCATCAGCCCAAGCAAAAGAAAAAAACCCATCCAGGATGCACCATTACAAGATGGACCTACAAGGTCGAAAACCATTTGAAGAGTGAAGTGTAATCCCTCCCTGAGCATCCATTGCAGAAACACAGGATAGGAAGGAACTCGGGGAAAAAAAAATACTGTGAAGCTGAGTAAATCAACAGAAACTTCTGGTATCTGCCATGAGATGCCTCCAACCAACACAGCCTCTAATCTACATTCATTGCAATCTAAAAGCATTATCTAAATAAACACGCCAAACACCCAAAAGCTTAAAATGGTGTCACAAGAGTACTTCTACCACACTTGGCATGAGAAATGAGCATGTTCAGGATTTGAGGCATACCACTTGGATTATGATTTTTTTATTTTAAAAGACAATTGAATTTACATTTGTATCACTTGTCCTCCTTCCCACAGCTCTGCAGAAAAGGAAGGCAGAGAACATCTCCCTCTGTAATGCTTTGTTTCAATATGAACTGAACCTCCAGAACAGGAAGGGGGCAGAAACACCCCAAAACCAGCAGGAAAGGTCAGCGCTTAGATCTTATTCGCTTCAGTCCTCCTGTGAGTCTGCTCCCCTGCTACACACACAGCTTCACCCACCCCATCAGAAGCAGCAGCTCTCGCCCCATTTCTCCTCACACAGGCATTAGATTTGGGTCCTACAATTGCAGCTGAGGGGAAAGAAACCCAACGCTCTGCCAAGGTCAGCAGGAAAGCACAGGGCAGGGAGCAGGCTGAAGTCAGACAGGGAGTCAGCACTGCAGGACGGGATGGGGACACAGCAGCCAGGTGGGCACCGTGCAGGATGGGCTCCGACAGCACAGCTCGGGCTGCTCGCAGACACCCACAGTGTGACAGGTTTTCCTTCCTGCATGGAAGTTCTTAAGGAAGATTCCCTTCTCTTTCCTCGAGGGGTGGCAGCAGGAAGGAAGCCCCAGCGTTCCGCCCGGCTGCTCGCCTTCCAAGCACGGCCCGGCACCGAGGTGTCACACAGCGCTCAGGGCCTCCAGCCGCCGCTGGGCGATCGCGGTGCTGAGGCGGGCCCCGCAGCTCACCGACCCCATAGAGTAGAACTGCGGCTCCGACACCCAGCGCCGCGATCCCGGGCACCGCAGAACGAAACGAATAAAACCCTACCGGTGGCAAACGGGCGGCGCCCGGAACCCACAGCGCACCGCGAGGCTCCGAGCCGCCCGGCCCGGCCCTTCCCAGGCGGCCACAGGGTCCCTCCGGCGCCGCCCGCCGCCTCCCCGCGGCCCCGAGACGGACGGAGCTCCGCGCTGCGCTACGCCTTCCTTGCGGCCCGCCGCTCACTTACCGCCTCGCCGGGCCCGCTCCGTCTCAGGCCGCCGCCCGCCAGGACAAAGGCGCCAACCGCCGCTGCCGCACGGCGCCGCCGCAAAGCGCGGAGGTGAGAGCCGCCGGAAGGGCGCTGACTCGCGCTTTACGGCGCGGTGCGGCGCGACGCACTGACGTACGGCGCGCCGCCGTGGCTGCCGGCGGATGGGGGGAGGCCTCGCGCCGAGCACGGCTCCCGGCGTGCCTCGCGGCCACCTCCGCAAAGCACCATGGGATTTGTAGTCCGTCGGGGGCCGCGGCCGCGGGGCGGCGCTCTCGAAGCCCACCGCGTTCAGGCCGCCGTGGAGTGGATCGGCGCTGCGTGCTGCGCCGGGCGGTGAGCGGGCGCCGCCGGGAGCTGGGCCGGGAGTGCCGGTGCGGGGTGAGGCCGGTGCCACAGGGCCGGTAGGGCACGGACGCCCGTCCCGGTGTGCAGCAGCGCCCAGACATCGTCGGGACTTCCCAGGCTGAGCCTGCGAGTGGCAGGCCCAGAAATCCCCATGCGTGCCTTCGGCTTCGGCTCTGCCCTCACAGCTCCCTGGGGCTCTGGGTGCACCTGAGAGCATCGGTTCTGGGAAATGACATCACAGCGGGGAATGTAGAGTGCATGGCCTGCGGCCAGGGCACAGCGCGAGGCAGCAGCGGGAGGCAGGGCTTTGGGCTGCAGCTGGACCTGAGGTCAGCCTGTGGGACATGGCTGGACTCCTGCAGCACTGGAAGCAGGGCCATTCCTGCGGCAGTGCCCACGGGGAGGATGGCGGCACCATACGCGGTGTCCTTGAGGTTGTGATGGCAGTGCTGGATTGGCACAGACTCTGAAAGTCCCCCCCACAGCACGCGCTGCAAACCTGCATATGGGGAAGTGTCCAGAGAACTTAAGGGATGGGAACTTCCTCGGGGATTGCTGTGGGATGGAGGGAAGGGAGCCGGGGCGGTGGGAAGGCTCAGAGCCCTGCTGCTCTTTTGCCTCTTCCCGTATCGGGTTGCTGTGTTTCTGGAAACTCTATGCAGATACCAGAGCCTGTGGGGAACGCTGAGGGGCTCTCAGGACTTTTTAAAAGTGAAGTGAAACCTCACACTTCTGCCTGAGGAAGAAGCTGTTGGGGCCAGAACAAAGATCTCCTCTGCTTCCCATGGCAGATTCCCGCCTGCGGCCGCACTTCATTCACCCAGAAAGAAGCTGGAGGCAGCTGCATGCTGACATCCACCCGTAGCTCGGCCGTGCCGGGCCGGTTGCACCGTGCGGGGGGACGGCGGGAAGCGCCCCGGCCCCGCACAGCTCTCGGCTACGTTCCTCGGCCCGGGAAAGTCCCGGGGCGGCGGGGGCTGCCGGTGGGGACTTCGTCGCAGGAGTGCAAGCCCGGTGACTGCAGGATGGGCGGCCCCTGCGGCCCCTTCCTGGGCGGAAACGGGTCGAGCCGTTAATATCGGCTGCCCGGCCCCGCACGGCTCGGTTGGACTCGGGACGGGACGGGCGGCGCGGCTCGGATCGGACCGGATGGGCGCGGCTCGGGCCATGGGGCGGCTCGGGCTGCTGGGGCTCCTCTGCGCGCTGCTCCTGGGCGTAAGTGCGGCGTCCCGCGGGGCCGGGGAGCGGGGCCGGGCCGGAGCTGCGCCGCTGCGCTCTGTGCCGCGGGGCCCGCAGGGCGGCCGGGCTGCGGCAACGCTTTCCGGGTGAGAGCGCCCGGCGCCGTCGGGCCGCTGAGCTCCGGTCCCGGCGGGAGCGGCCCGGGGCCGTCATCCAGCGCGGTGCCGGGAAGGATGCGGGGAGCCCCTGGCTGGGTGCCCCGAGCACGGCTCCTGCTCCCGGGCGCAGAGCTTCGTCGTTCCTCGTTCTCGTGGTTGAGATTCCCCCGGCAAGGGCTCGGCGTTTCCTATCCTTCCTACTCCATATTGCCTCCCCTTGCCCCAGAATCCCTGTCGCCGTTGTTTGGGGCGCAGCCGTGAATTTGAGGAGCAGAGAGGGCAATGTGGGCAGTTCCCTGTCAGCAGGAGTCCCGGTCCGTGTCGAGGCAAGGCATGGGACAGGCATGGGGCTTGTTGTCCTTGCTGGAGGGGCTGTGGCAGCCTATGGCTGAGCCCTGTTGTGGGGTCTTGTGGGTTCGATGCAAGGCCGGGCTCTGGGGAGGGTGGCAGAGGCAGGGTGGGGTGTCTCAGCACCCTTTCGGTTCCCCTTCCTGCCTGAAGTCACAGGCGCGTGCTGGGGGGGGTCAGTTCCCTTGTACAGGGTCAGGCATCACAAGCCAGGCCTTGCAGTGCCCCTTTCACACCAGGACAGCCCACAGGACCGTGTCGGGGATGACCAAGCGAGGAGACAGCAGCCTGTGTGGGTTTGATGTTCCTGCCCGGGGAAGGGGCTGGTGGCACGGTGGGCACTGCTCCCCCTGCCCAGCACTGCAGCGCTGGTGGCACTGGCAGAGGCCCAAGGTGAAGAGCAGTCACCACCCAGTAGGAAACCTGGGAAAGTACGGGGCCGCCCTACAGGAGCCACTGCCATCCCACTTCAAAGAGAGCGCTGGCAGTGCCAGGCAGTGCAGGCAGATCTGCTGCGGTCTGTGGTTAGCCCAGGCATGGGAAGTGTGGTGCAAGGAAAACCTCACCTTGGGGCACGGCTCGGAGGATGTGTGGCTGTGCAGGAGTGTGGGAGAGCAGCATCTCTTCATGGGTCTCATCTCTTCCAGTGCGGGCAGCCTGGTGATGCTGTGAATTGCTCTGACAAGCAGTATGAGCACAAGGGCAAATGCTGCAACCGATGCCAGCCGGGTACAGAAATACCTTCTCCTCCCTGAGCCGTGTAGCCATGGCTGCTGGGGCTGCGTTTGGCAATTGAGCAGCATGCCACAGTGGCCCCAGCAACTACTAGTGCTCTCTTATCCCTCCTCACCAACCATTCTTGCAGGGAAGAAGTTGGCCTCTGAATGCAACGACACAGAAAGCTCTGTCTGCACACCCTGTGACAACGGTCACTACCAGCAGAGCTGGACTAAAGAGAAGCACTGCATGCCCCATGACATCTGTGAGGAGAGTAAGTGTTCCATGTCCCCAGCGTGTGGGGCTGCAGGGGCTGCACTCCACCCAGGCTTACCTTCACTGTGTCCCCACTCACTCTGACAGACGCTGGCCTCGTCGTGAAAAGACATGGAAATGCAACGCACAACACTGTGTGTCAGTGCCGGGCTGGCATGCACTGCTCTGATGCCAGCTGCCAGACCTGCGTGGAGAATGAGCCCTGCAAGCAGGGCTTTGGCTTTGTGGCAGGTGAGACCCAGCCGTTCCTATCCCTGCAATGGGCCCCATGTGCTGGAGGCATCGACCTCAGGTGCTCCCAGGGATGGAGGCTTCCTCTGCATGGAGCTCTACCAGAGCTTTGTGAGGGCTGCACTGCTGCTGACCTTCGTGCAACCTCCACTCCCTTCCAGCCGTGGCTGAAGCCCGGATGATCTCACCGTGTAAGCCCTGTGAAGATGGCACCTTCTCCAATGTATCTTCCAAAACTGAGCCGTGCCACTTCTGGACAAGGTCAGTGTCAGCTGCACCCTGTGCCCCATCCTTGTTCCTCTCTGCACATCCCCTGCTGCCACCTGCCCTGTGGCACTGGGACGAGGCACCGGGACGGCCCCTGTGGGGCACAGCCCCAGACTGGTGCAGGGCAGGAGCGAGGGCAGAAGGGTGCAGTGAGACCCAGGTGGCTGAGCTGGTGGCAGGTGTTGTGGCATTCCTTCAGTGTGCGTGGAATGCCAGACCTCAGGGGATGGGGCCCAGACCCCAGCTCACTCCTGTCTATAAAAAGCAGCTGAAGAGTTACTCGTGTTCCTTGGTAGAAATGTGAGCATTACCTCTGAACTGCATTAGTCTCGCCTCAGCTGCCAGCCATTGGATTTCACTTTGCTCCTGTCTATGGCCAGAAATTACCTCCCCACTGAGTCACTTGTGGCATGCCATCGAGCGATCTCTGAGCTGTTCTGCAGCTGCTGAAGCATCCCAGCCCCAGTGTCCCCCTCCTGTGCCTCGACCCAAGGCACGTGCCCACCTCTGGCAGTTTCAGCAGCTTCTGACAGGGCCCTGGCATCTCCATCCCCATCTCACCCCAGGAGCCCCACTGCTGTGCCCCAACCACACACCCCCAGGGCCCAGGGGATGCTGACTGCACGTGTTTGGCTCCTAGCCCAATGGCTGTGGGGCTCCCACTATGGTGACGCAGTCTCATTCTTTGCCTGCAGCTGTGAGGAAAAGGGGCTCATGGTGAAGGTGAAAGGGACGAACACTTCAGATGTGATCTGTGGTAAGTACTCCATACCCTGTCTGCTGCAGAGCTGATGTGGGCTGGAGCTCTGTGCAGCCCTCTGAGTCCCCATGCCCTGGCAGAGTCGAGCCGGCGCTCATCGCTGTCGGTGCTGATCCCCATCACAGCTGTGGTTGTCACCTGCCTGGTGGGCATCTGCATCTACTGCCTGGTGCACACAGGTGAGGAGCCAAGTAGGGAAGGCAGTGGCAGTTCTACCAGCAATGGGGAGGCCATTCAGGGGGTGGCAGTGTGGCACCCAGCCTCTCCAGCTCTGAGCTTGTTGGAGGGCTGGGGGCCAGGCAGGGCAGGACCTCCGCCAATGGTGGCCTTCTCTCCTTTCCCTGCAGACCTCAGGCGCCGTGGAACGAGGCAGGTGAGTTCTCTCCAGCAGTGGGTTGGTGTCCCTGCTGGCATGGTAGGGATGTGTGGGCTGCAGAGCAGGGGCTATCCTAGGGCTGCTCAGTGGGGACGGGGCCACCAGGAACCTACGCAGGGAACCTCTATGGGGTGAGGCCCCTGTTCTGCAGAAGGAGCAAGTACAGGAGGCTCCCGTGGAGAGATGTGGCTGTGGGCAGGGGCTGTGACCGCTGCTCCTGCCCCTGAGCCCGCTCCTGGCCCTGACCTCCTGCCCCCACATAGATTGAGACCGAGGTGCCCAGAGAGCTGGAGACGCAGCAGCCGGAGGAGGTGGACTTCCCGGTGCAGGAGACCCTGCTGGGAGGGCAGCCCGTAGCGCAGGAGGACGGCAAGGAGAGCCGCATCGCAGA